CGACGATTTCGATTGACCAGGTCATTTTATCTTCAGTCAAAAATTCTGCAGATCCTACTAGGACAGATCCGGTTATCCGCGACGGTGCTAGAGGCCGCAGATTCCCGGGGCGCTTCTTACGAAACCGATCAGCTAGCTCCGATGTACGTAGAGGATATGAAAATCGCCAAACTGAGTTTGGCAGTCCGGGAGGGCCTCTATCTGCATTAAAAGATGCACCAAGAATGCCTCTCACGCTTTCCGGGGAAACAGATGTCCTTTCGAGTGAGAAACTTAACTCTTTAATAGAAACTGAAACCCAGGGGGGGCGATCGCTCGGGAGAAGGCGCGGCAAGAGCCACATCGTGACGACAGGCAGACATCGTAGTCGACCGGAACTCCTTATTCCAGATAATGTAGTGGCTACTTCAACTACTACTACTTTGGCAGTTTCATCCGATCCAAAAGAGCTTGAAGATGCAGTGAGATACAATTTTTTATCACCAGTGGCTCGCAGACAACCAGTTACTTCGCAAGCCGTTCGTGAACAGCAGCAACTACTACAAGCGATTGTTGGACACCCTGGGCAAGAAGTGAAGCCTTTGCAAAACATACAAGCTTGTGGCATTGGAGCTCAGTAAGTTTATTATGGGCATTGGCTTGTCTTACTTAAGTCGATATCCGTTCTATTAATCAACCACCATCGCGGGTGTCTTTTAGGTTATCTGTCTATTTTTACCTAACAGTCAGACCTCGTCGGACATATGGCTGCTTTGTAGAGGCAATCATTGCTTTTAATTGGTATCAATAGACCATTATTTCTACCTTGTTTTATGGAAATTGCTAAAAGTTTCTTTTTACTTGAAACCGAATAAAGATTGTCTTGTTATTGCTATGTTTTCTCGGACCGCAGATTTAGGTTTAGTAGTATCCGACCCATCATGTTTCTTTATTTATAAATCAGTGCTGAGCCAAGCTCCGCAAATTACTGGCATAGGAAACGGAGTTACTTGAAATCCTACACTCAAATCAATTACCAATACGAATTTCTTTGTTTGGTTACTGAGTATTTGTTGAGCTTATTTCCATTTTGAGTGAAAGTGTTGGGTGAAGAGATTCGAAGGTCGGTTCCACCAAAAGACGACGGCGTATTCCTCTTGACCAGCTG